CCTGTTGATCCTGTAGATCATTATCTCGTTTCAACGGATTTAGGTGGTCAGTCCCATAGATCCGTTGAAACGAGGTTTGACTGTATGTTTGATGTTATCATTGACATAACAAACAATTGCATCACCCAAGTAGTAATAACATCAAGGCCATTTAAAATGAAACTTTTAATAAATGCATGTCTACCCAGATCACTGGAATTCACAAAATAATTATTCTTCCTGATTATCAATTATGGTTCCTTATGAATAATAAATCTGACGTTGATCACAGATATCAGATTTAATTAAAATTTTCCTGTCACTAACATGCGCTATGTAATTAGACATCATTCAACACTGTAAACTTTTTTTCACAGAAGAAAGGACTTGAACAAGTTGGAAGGCTTTGGACAAAACTTTCCCCTATCTTCCTCTCAGACCAGGCTTGGCTGTTACCATATAGGCATTGATAACTGGCAAAGATCAGCATTTGTGTGATGATTGCTTTGTGTTATTGCTAGAATAAAGTTGGTGTCTACAAATGGTTCAAAATCCTCCAATTTGGAAGGTTGCAACTTGGGAAGTTGCTGTCTTGGATTTTCCCTGTATTCGGAGTTTTGAGTCCTGGATTGCTGTCTTGTTGGTGGCATGCCTGCTCACCAACAACCATACCCTATTTAAATAACAAGTTCAGTTGGTAAATAAAAATAAAGAGAAACAGAGAATTTATGAAAATGATAAATTTATATATAACATACAAACAGATCTAAACCATTTTATTTTACAGCTTTCACTTTGATGCCAGTGATCATGGTGACTATCACAATAGGAGTGGGCAGAATCAAACTGCCACCTTTATACTTGTAAGATACATGCTCTCATTGAGCTACATTCCTTTAACCTAAGGTGAGTTACGTGGGCAAAAGCCCCCATTTAAAAACAAGTTCAGTTGGTCAAAAGAAACAGAAATTTGGGAAAATAATTAATTTATAATTTAACATACCAAATAAAATTCAAACCATTTTATTTTACAGCCTTCCTCCTAACATCAGAGCACAAATGCAATTTCAGGGCTACCAACCCTGCACTGAATTGCAATTGAAACAAGTTGAAGATTCTTGTTGCTTTGATGGATCTGGATGTTTACATGGCACTACAATTCATCAGCAGAGTTGCAACTTGGTCACAGTGCCATCCTTACCCTAGAGGTAGGATTTTTGCAGGAAATTTTTCAGCCAGCATGCCAGCAGCCTTCTCTGGTCTGAGAAAATTAGTGAAAATGTCATTCACAATTGATGCAGTCTCAATAAATTCCAGAACCACGTCCCCCCTGAAAATTTAACAACATCATTGTATCATCGGAGCACACTAGTCTGATTAACCTTTTGTCACAAGGAATGTGTAAGAATGACTGTAAAGTGTTCAGATAACATGCATGCTTAAATGTCTGCCAATTTCCGATAATCAAACATCTCATATTTAAATTGTTTCTTTTTCAACGGTGTGCTGTCTTGACATCTTGTAATTATATATTTACATTAATATTAATATTGATTACGCAAAGCAAAATACCAATTGTTCATTTGTCACCTTGGACTCAAATAGATTGTTTTCCCAAAAAAAAAATCAATTGTGTCAACAAAAAAAAATCTGTGCAATATTCAACCCTTCAGGACATACTGTCACGAACATATTCTCAAGAACAAGAGCTTTCGAATGATACAAAGACTACAATATTTTAATTAGTATAGTTTTGAAATAAATTGAAAATATATTTTAGACGCAAACTTTTGTCCACCAAGTGTAGATATTACAATCATTGATGATGATGTAAATGTGGGAGGAGAAAGTGATAAAAGTGATGATGAAGATGAAAATGAGGGTGTTGATGAAGATGAAACAATTAGAATAGAAAATAGTGAAGAGTGGTATTGAAAATATATTTAGTTTTCTTTTTTTTATGGAATTTAAAAAAAATAAATATTTTTTTTAAAAAAAAAATGCATTAAATTTGAACGGCCTTATAAATTACACCATTTATTTAGTTTTATTTCATATAAATTAACTTTTACATCACAAAATAAATTTTATCAGAACATCATCTAATTAAATATTTTCATTAAAAAAAAATTAAAAGTAATAGTAATGTCATCTAAAAGATTCCATGGTAGAAAAAATAAAGAATTCGTACCCGAGATTGCTGAGTAAGTGTTTATTAAAAGAATGGCGGTGATGGTTATCACGACTTGTCGTTACTCTAGTTAAATTGAATTGTGTTAATTATTTATATTTATTTACGACTATACCATTTTCAGAAGGATCAAAAAGAAAAAACATATATGATGTTGAAGAAAGTGATGACGAGCATGAAGATTCTGAGGACGATGAATATTCCGAAGATGAAGACGAAAACGATAAAAATCGTCAAGAAAGCAATAAAAATAAAATCAATAAAAAAGATTTTACGAATGCATTCAACAACATATCTAACAATTGCAAAATGCGCTTAAAGTCCGGGAAGATAGTTGAGGACACTTTGTTTGAATACGCCAAGAATTTGGAACATGAAGAGTAAGTAATTATTTAAAATTTAATTTGATTTTCTTTTATTTTGTCAATCACAATTATGATTTATGATGCTGTCATGTTTTATTAGCCATACGCATTCGTATATAATAAATTGTAGCGATGAGAATGTGAAAAAATTATTCACTAAACAGGAATGGGATGAATTGACACAAGAAAACCTAGAAGCCTTCGAAATTCCAGATGATATATTGGGATACTTAAAATTTTATAATCAAGATACAATAGAAGGTGTTAGACGAAACCATATCTCAAAAATGATGAAACTTATGACACTAATTCCCATTTTGATTACGAATGGATACATTTATCTGTTGGAAGTGTAATCAATTTGTGGGAAAACAAGGACTCACCATTATCTCGTACACAATACGAGAATTGGTGCTCGGTCAATTTATTTGGGAGTTGTTTGGATTTTTGTTTTAGAGATTATAAATTAGGAACAGATGTAAAAAGGTTATTATTTTTTTTTTTAACAATGTGATTGATCAATCATTATTCTTTGAATGTAACTTTGTATACTTTAGAACGGATTCGCCATCAACAGCTAGTGGTAATCGGAAGAATCGTGCGAAAGAGAAGGGTGCTAGAAAAAGGGTTGGACGCAAAATTGATGGTATAATTTACAACATTGGAAAAAATCTTGAATTAGGTGTATTTGAATCTGCCAGTATTTTCGAGGACGAACATGATAATAAATATCTTAAAGAAAGTTTTAAATTGCCAAAATCAATGAGAGATATTTATTGTGGTTTGGCTAGATACATAAAATATGAAGAAGAAAAATGCAATTCGTCACAAGTGATAGGAATACTACACCTTGGCCTAATGGTGCAGTTTTCAAAGTTATGGAGGGCAAATGGTTTAATTGCAATATATAAAAAAAGCAATAATGTGAATTATTTGTCACCAAGGTTCACAAAACTTGGTCTTAATGATTATTTGAAGCTATTAGCTAAAATTTATTCTTATAAGGTAAAAAATATGTTCTTGAATTTGCAATCTTATTTTTTTTTATATATAACTTATTAATTATTTAAGCTTCTTAAACAGCAAATAACAAAGAATAATCTTCAGATTTTGGGTTTATGTGATCCAGCTGAGGAAAGTGATTTATTAGAAGAATTAAAAAATATAGATCGTGAAAAAACACCGCCACCTACAATAGAATACTTTATAGATTGCTGGATGACTCCAGTTAAACCGAACCATCTAATCCAGTCCAACCTAAAAAGGATCAAAAAACAAACAAAACAAGTTTTCTTGAAAGATTAAAAAGTGCGAAGAAACAATGTAATAGTATTCATTTAGAAATTTAGTGTTTGAATATTTAAAATTCTCAAATTATCGTAATTCTATTAATTCTAAGTAATTATAATACATTGAATAAATAAACAATATTCTGATTATTAAATAGATTGACGTAAAGAATCCCTTGTTATCAATGAAATACTTGATCATTTGGCTTGCTGAATTGGTTCATTTAGTAGACAACTTGTATAAAATGGTCCAGGATGCTTATATCTGACATGAACTTGACGATTTGATATATCCTGCCTTTTAGCTTCTGCTAGTTCGATAAATTCTTTTTTTTTTAACTGTATTGAACCTAAAATATTCCCAGAAACAATCATGAATTTTTTCATAAGTTAGTCTATAATTTCCATCAATTCGGCACAGAATTCAGGGGTATCGTCAGTGACTTGAGGTCTTTCACCATTTAAAATATCTGATACAAAAGATGATTATGTTCTCTATCATGAAAAGGGTTCTTTCCTAAACTATAAATATCTGTATATGGTTTTTTAATAATACTTCAGGCGCCTGGCATGGAATCACTCCAAATTATCTTTTTTATCAATTACTTGTTAACATAATCTCAAATCTCCTGTTATGGTCAACGTAATACTACCGCCGTGCAAGCCATTATTAGTGATTATATTCGATATCCGGTTGCTAAAATAACATTTCAAATTATTATCTAGCCTCTTTCGTTTAGTATAAATAAAAATTCGAATATAAAAAAGGATAATATTGCTTAAAAAGAATCACTTTTTGGCCAAGTGAAAGAACAATCAGCCGTCTAATTAAAATTTTATATTGATATTTCGGGTCTTGTTTATAAGAGTAGAGTTTCGTTTTTTTTGTTTTATTCGAACTACTCATTTTATTCATTTTATTCGAATTACTCGCTTTATTCGCTTTATTCGCTTTATTTGAATTATTGGTTTATTCATTTTATTCGAATTACTCGATTTATACGTTTTATTTGCTTTATTCGTTTTAGCAAATTATTCGTTTATTCAACAAAAATTATTATTGATATATTAATATTAATATTAAGACTGAAACTCGATTAATATTAAATGCAGTTATGGTAATGGAAACCAAAGATTTAAACATTTTGTTGCTCAACTGAATTGTTGGTGAAGGATGAGATCAAATCAAAGGTCAAACGTTGTAATGAGTCTTTTTTTCTTTTTTTTTGCAGGAGCAACTTCTTTCAATTGAAAGCATGTTGACTTGTCTCAAAATAATTATCTACAGTCTTGTGGTAAGAAATTTCAAAAAGGAAAATATTATATTGTATTTATATGTATATGCTGTACATAAAATAAGGACAAAATTATCAACTAAAAAAATAATGAACCAAAGCACATAAAGAATTTCTTTGAAGTCTTAATCATGGTATAGCAAACCGACCAACACTCACCACTACAACCCTTCAGTATTGCAACAAACTTTTAATGCCATAGTATTTCTAAAACCATTTAACTTCGCTGAAGATTTTTCTTGTAATCATACATGTCAAATCATTCATTGGTTAAAATAACAATCTTATTTGAATGGAAGCTTGCAATACCATAAATAACAAACCACACCAACAAGTGACGAAGTCATAGTCATAAATCATATATTCTAGATTTAAATGATAAAACAGTAATTGATGATAGGACATGACAATTAGATTGTGAAAAGTCTTGAAAAAATTTTTTTTTTTTAAAATGAAATGAAAAGTTTGCATACAACTTATCTGGAAGTTTTGTGTATACTTGAAATAACATTTTACTATTGCTATCATCATTATTAAAAAGATTTAAATTCAAAATTGATGATGAAGTCTTTATAATTCCAGTTCATGTACTTTTTTTCATTTGTGGTAGAGGCATTTTTTATAAAGGAAAACATGTTTCTTTAATTTAAAAAAAAAGCAATTGAATTAGAAAGACAAGGAGACCACCTGAATTAATAAAAATTAATTATTTGATTAAACTCTTGGAATATTTACACTTGTGGTTTGTTGTTGTCATTATCATTATCATTAATCATCAATCATCAAATAAGCAGATGTATAGATAAAAAGCATCTTTTTAAATTTTTGACAATCTTCATTTTAGTATGTAACATAAAATATTTTATTTATATGACAAAATTTTAATATTATAAATTCGATTTAAACATTAATTTATTTTCAGAAGTTTCTTTCCTGTATTCTTTTACTAATGAAGAAATTTGTTTGAACTTTTGATCAGATGAATCATTAAGTAATTGAAATAATATTGATTCTGAAGATGTAACTGATCCACCAGCCTGTTGTATATGCTATAATGCATACCAATATATATAAAACTGTGTGAATAAAAAGATCATACAATAATAATAATGATGTTGAAAATAACATCAAACAACAACAACAACAACAACAAATAAAAAATCACAACTTACATTTAAAGCAATCTCAATCTCTGGATAATTCATTGATGATACACCATCAGCTAGAACATGAATATCATAATTATTCTCAATTAGATCTAAAGCTGTTTGTAAAATACAAACATGTGCCTTTGAGCAAATAAATAATTGGTTGATTAATTAATTAACATAATAATTTTAATGAATTATTTAAAAATATCTTCCAAAGTAATATAAATAATAAATAGTTTACCTCAATTCCAAAAAGTACAATAGATTTGATATTATGATTTTTTAGAGCATTTTCAATTTCTGGAACAAACATTGAAAATTTGGTTTTTTCTGCTACAACTTTTGCATTTTTAATATCAAGATCTTTAACTGTGCTTCCAAGTCCTAATTAATTAACCAATTAATCAATATAATTATTTTAATGAAATTATATAATTTTTATTAACGAGAAAATGTTCTTTGCACCTTTTGGATGCTTTATTAAATAAGTAAAAATTATTGTATTGTTAATTTTGTTAGAATTGACTTTTTGATTTTTACAAATTGTATGAATATTTTTAAAATTCTATAATAATAAATTCATTCGAACCTGTTCTGAAACAAAAATCCAAACGACTTCCAAATAGGTTGACCGAGTACCAATTTTCGTATTGTGTACGAGATAATGGTGAGTCCTTATTCTCCCATAAATTGATTACACTTCTAATAGATAAGTGTATCCATTCGTAATCATAATTGGAATTAGTGTCATAATTTTCATCGTTTTTGAGGTATGGTTTCATGAGTTTGCTTCTAACACCCTCCATTGTATCTTGATTATAAAATTTTAAGTGTTCCAATATATCATCTGGAATTTCGAAGGCTTCCAGGTTTTCTTGTGTCAATTCATCCCATTCCTGTTTAGTGAATAATTTTTTCACATTCTCATCGCTACAATTTATTATATACGAATGCGTATGGCTAATAAAACATGACAGCATCATAAATCATAATTGTGATTGACAAAATAAAAGAAAATCAAATTAAATTTTAAATAATTACTTACTCTTCATGTTCCAAATTCTTGGCGTATTCAAACAAAGTGTCCTCAACTATCTTCCCGGACTTTAAGCGCATTTTGCAATTATTAGTTATGTTGTTGAATGCATTCGTAAAATCTTTTTTATTGATTTTATTTTTATCGCTTCTTGACTATTTTTATTGCTTTCGTCTTCATCTTCGGAATATTCATCGTCCTCGGAATCTTCATGCTCGTCATCACTTTCTTCAACATCATATAAGCCTTTTCCTTTTGATCCTTCTGAAAATGGTCTAGTCGTAAATAAATATAAGTAATTAACACAATTCAATTTTTTAAAATTTGACTAGAGTGACAATGAGCGGCGATAACCACCATTCTTTTGATAAACACTTACCCTTTTCAACTATTTCGTGCGTTTCTTTCCTTCTTTTTATCTCTTTAGGTTCTTTAGGTGGCATTTTTTTAATTTTAAATTTTTTTTTTTTAAAAAAAAAAGACAGTGTCAAAGTAAATAATTTTTTTTTGAGAAAGATTTTTAGAATTTATTTAAAATAAGAATAAATATTAATTATTGTATACATTGTAATTGTAATTATTAATATGATAATAATAATGAATAATTATGAATAATTATGATAATAATAACGAATAATCTTTTCACGGTCAAACGATATGTCACAGGAAGTGTAATAATAATTACAAATATAAAATAGAAAATCCGGCTCGTGTATCCAATCGGTTTTTTAAAATATCTCATTATTTTTATAACAAATTCAAACATCATTACATTATAGCTTTCTAATGAGCCCTCGCCCATATTGATGGAGGCTTTCTATGTCAAGCTATATTTATTCAAAAACAGCATTACTTTTTACTTCAAAGCTATGATTTTTTTACTTTATAAACTTGAAAGATGTAAAATATTGTAAAATTTCATATAGGTATAGCTTTATGTGGATTGTTGTTTATTAAAGTTTAGTGAAAATGGCAAAAAAATTAAATTTTGATAAATTTATTTAAGCTCCGTGGAATTTCTCCACAGGTGAAAGCGGGATGAACAAGTCGAATAACTTCAGACAAGCAAAATGCTTTAATCAATGTTAGCATTTGACCATTAGCCGTCCAACATTATTAGCCAAAAATGGCCAGAACGGTCAAAACAGCCAAGACAGTGAAAATTTATTTTTTTATAAATTGGTGATTTTCCGCAAATCATCATCTGTAATCCATGACCCAAAGGCCAGTCTTTTTAAAGAGTCATCTCATTGGCTCAGGCGCAGTGATTCACTAGTAGTGGTTGGTCAAAAATGGCAAAATGTCAACAATGGCTTTAGCAGTCTCCTTTGACAATGATGTATTTCCATAAATCCCAGAGCCACATATCCCCTGGAATTCAATCGCACCATTGTATCTCAGGGCAAGCTAGTCAGATTTGGATGAGGAGCAAAAGAACGATTGTAATTGTTTAACTATTAGTCTCCATATGATAATCAACGTTGCGTATCGAGTTTCTTGGTGTTTCCAAATTGTCCAAGCATGTGCAGTTTTCCGTATGAGAGATGTAGATCTCCAACAGCTGTGTTGCCTTTTTCGCCACTGATGTTCCTTAGTTTCTTATGATTGTTTTTTTCTAGTCTGACATTCATTTTTATATTAAAATTTTTTAATTCATAATGAAGAAAAACATCTCATTATTTTTACAATGAACTTGATGATTAATTAATGTAAAGAAAAACTTTCTGACAAATACCTTTTCATATTGAAAAGGTGTTCTTCATATCAAGCTATAGTTATTCAAAGATGGTGTTGCTTTTTCACTTCAAAGCCGAGATTATTCCTAGTATCTAATGATGTATGACAAAACTTTTGATTTTAGTCATTGACGTAACTAAATTATTGACTAGAGGTAGTTTCCCACTAGGCCATTTTGACGATTTGACTAAGGTAAAAGCACTTGATGTAATTGAAAATATTTGACGCAAGTAAAATGCTTGATACAAGCAGCAATAATGATAATGATAAAATAGGATTATCAAAAGTGTAAAAATGTGTGCCCCGAGACGAATAAAGAATTATTATATCATTCTCTGTATATTGCAATGTTGCAAGAAGAATAATTATCATGGGAAGTTTCCTCTTTTCTGCAAATTAAAACCATTCTTTTATTATTACATTTCATAAAATGTAAATTTTTTTTCGAATGTTAACTTTGAAGTTAGCTACGCGTAATAGTGATACGCAATAATATTAATAGTATGCTTGAGCTGTCTTTAGTTTCTGAGTTTGAAATAACATAGATTGATCAATATTGGTACTTAGAACGAACGACCTTTACATAACACATAAGACAGGCTTTAGTACATGTTTTAATTTTGTTTTCTATTTTTATCACTTTTAAATTTTCAAAGAATTTCTTTTATTATTATTGAATCACGATTGTTCTTCAAATAAAAAATGTTGTACGAAAAAATTGTTGTTACACGCCATTCAATTCTCCGCTCCACAAAGAAAAAGTTATTCTCATTTATTAAAACACTGATTCAAAATTTTATATTTTTATATAATGTCACATGCTCAAATATTATCATCGTTATCACTAGAAATAAGGGAATTTGTATTTAAAATTCATAATGAAATGTATAATAATACTCAGGTTAATAATTCTGATGAAGTAAAAAAGATTATTTTTTTTCATTAGTCAACAAAAACAAGGAGCTTTCTGAAAATGAAAAAGAATATTGTAAGGAAAGGTTTATTTATAACTTTGAATTAAGAAATGCAAGAGATAAATTAGGCAAACCAAAAGAATGTAACAAGTGTAAATTGACAAGATACTCTGATAGGTTCTGTGAAGGTTGTATCAGTTTACAATTACAGAGTCTTTTCACCACTTGGACATCTGGAAATAACATAGTTGACAACTTTATTCAACAATGTCAAATGAAATCTTCTCTGCCAAACTATATTTTAGAATGGATACCTTTTGAACAATTTGAAAAAGTAACAAAGTTGACAAAAGGTGGATTTAGTTCAATTTATACTGCTAGATGGACAAGAGGAACTATTATTGATTATGACGAAAATAAAAAAGAATTTAGTTATTTAGGAGAAGGGATGAAAGTAGTATTAAAAAGTTTAAATGATTCAAGTAGTCCAGGAAAAGGCTTTTTTGATGAGGTTGGTAATTGTCATTTAAACAAAATAAATAATACTGTATTATATCATACTAATTGATTTTATTTAATTACAGGCAATAAATTATTGTAAAATTAAAGCACCACTGATTATTCAGTGTTATGGTATAACTAAATTCCCAGATAATGGAAATTATGCAATTGTTTTACCTTATGCTTCAGAGGGAAATTTAAGGGGTTACTTACAAAAAAATCATTTAAATTTAACATTAAAAGACAGAATTACAATATTTTATTATTTATGTGGTGCATTAAATAGTATACATCGGAAAGATTTAATCCATTGTGATTTACATAGTGGTAATATACTTGTGCAAGCAGGTAGATGTTTTATTACAGATTTGGGATTATGTGGACCAGTTGATGAAAAATCATCAAATAAAGTCTATGGAATTGTATCATATGTTGCACCTGAACTACTTAGAGGCAAAATTAATACAAAGAACACCAAAGAATCAGATATCTATAGTGTTGGGATGTTAATGTGGGAAATATTTGCAGGTCACCCACCATTTGACAATAGAGCTCACAATCATCGTTTGATTTTGGATATATGTGAAGGTTTACGACCACCAATATTACCTGGAATGACTGATGATTATGTGCAAATGATGCAGAGGTGTTGGGATGTGGACCCATCAAAAAGACCAACTAGTAGTGAGCTTTTTATCTTTGCTATATATAAACGTAATGAAATTTTTAAAAATGAAAGTTTGAAAAACAATAGCAAGAATAATAGTTTAATAAAAAGATTATTCAAGTTTCCTAAAATTAAAAATAATAATAGCAGCAGCAGCGGTGGTAATAATGCCTCGCAACAAGTATACGAATCACATCCAGATGCATATCATACAAGTAGAATCTTGGATGAAGAGATTGCTAAATCAAAAAGCTTGAAATTGTATACAAGTAATGATAGTTCGTTAAACAATCTTGATTTTAACTCTCTTCTCTAAAATGTTGAAGGTGAATAAAAATTTCATTATTAATTAATTAATTGGAACTTACTATCCATTAATTATTACTAATAATATTTTTTATTTATATTAGATTCTAATAATTAAAAGAAAGAACTAATGAATGACTAATTTAATCTCCACTATAAATTTATTTTATTTTTATTTTATTCTTAAAGCTAAATTATTTTGAAATAATAAACTTTTCACAGTTTTTTGATTCTTGTTAATATTAAATGGTAATATTACAAGGTATCGTTTTGGTTAACAACGATTATTTAACAAGTATTTGGACTACTTTCGTCAGTTAATCACAAGCAACTCACAATAATTCGGTGCTTGTCAATTAACTGGTTACTGTACAAATTTACTTTGTTCCCTCTTCCTTGCACCTAGATGAATCTGTGAGCACACTTAATGGTACCAGATAACTGTAAATAAATAAAGATGGCCTTTAAAAGGCACAAAGGCTTCTATAAAGTTCCTTTTATTCATTTGTGATCAATTTATTTGTTTACATTTATTTAGCCGATTGCAAACTCGTTTTGGTTTACTTGCAAAGCAACTTAAGTAGCTTGTTTAACAGCCTTACGTTTATGATTACAATAACACCACCTTATCAATTAATATTAATATTGATATTAATCAAAAAATGTTGTACGAAAAATTGTTTATTACACTCATTCTCCACTCCACGTCGAATTTTATATTTTATATTTTTACATAATGTCATATAATATATTATTATCATCGTTATCACTAGAAAGAAGGGAATTTGTATTTAAAATTCATAATGAAATGTATAATAATGCAATGGCCAACTCTGATAAAGAAAGTAGTAAAGATTATTTTTTTTCATTGGTCAAGAAAAACAGGGAGCTTGCTGAAAATGAAAAAGAATATTGTAAGGAAAGGTTTATTTATGATTTAGAATTAAATAATGCAATATATAAAGAAGGAAAACCGAAAAAATGTAACAAATGTAAATTGACAAGATACTCTGATAGGTTCTGTGAAGGTTGTATTAGTTTACAATTACAGAGTCTTTTCACCACTTGGACATCTGGAAATAACATAGTTGACAACTTTATTCAACAATGTCAAATGAAATCATCTCTGCCAACTTATATTTTAGAATGGATACCTTTTGAGCAATTTAAAAAAGTAACAAAGCTGACAGAAGGTGGATTTAGTTCAATTTATACTGCTACGTGGACAAGAGGAGAAATAATTGATTATGACGAAAATAAAAAGGAATTTAGTTATTTAAGAGGAGGGCAACTTATAGTATTAAAGAGTTTAAATGATTCAAGTAATCCAGGAAAAGCCTTTTTTGATGAGGTTGGTAGTTGTCATTTAAAACAAATAAACAACACTATATTATATAATACTAATTTATTTTATTTATTTTCAGGCAATGAATTATTGTGAAATTAAAGCACCACTGATTGTTAGTTGCTATGGTATAACCAAATTCCCAGATAATGGAAATTATGCAATAGTTTTAAATTATTTAGAGGGAAATTTAAGGGGTTACTTACAAAAAAATCACTTAAATTTAACATTAAAAGACAGAATTACAATATTTTATTATTTATGTTATGCATTATATGATATACATCAGAAAGATTTAATCCATTGTGATTTACATAGTGGTAATATACTTGTGCAAGGAGGTAAATGTTTTATTACAGATTTGG